TGGGGCTGCTCCTGCCGTGTCCCAGCACCATTAACCAACCTGCTGGCAGGGGACTGCTGCCTTTATTTGTAGCTGGCTTGGATTCCCTGTGCAGACCCAGCAGTATTCCCTGCCCCGGGAGCTGCCCTGCTCTGGTTTTGTTCCAGGACCCCAAACCCCAGAAGCTGACTGCTTCCCTGCCCCCAGCTTCCCCAGTCGTTTTTCTGTCCCATTCTTGTTGCCCCCAGTTAAACCACGGCCCGTTCTTCCCATGACCTTGTGCTTCCCCTGCCTTTGTTCCCTGGATTCCTGCTGGCCAGAATGGATGGACAGATCCCCCTCTCCCTCTGCCAGCTTTTGTTGGGAGCAGCTCCGGGGCTGCTGAGCTGGGGCAGCTCCTCACAAATGCCCGTGGCTGGGACAGGGAGTCCCCAGGGTGTCCCCAGAGCTGTGCTGGACACAGGGACAGCAGGAGTGGCTGGGATGGAGCTCTGGGCTGGGCTGAGCAGAGCAGCTCCTGGGAGCTGTCCCTGCCAGAGGAGCACGGGGAGAGGCTGCCAGGGCATCCCAGACAGGCCAGTGGGGATTGTCCTCTTCAGGGCTGGAGTTAAGAGCCAGGGAGGATGTTTTTCCTTCTCTTAAAATAATGAGAAGGGAGATGGGAGAGGGGCTCTGGTCTCGTTGGATGCTGGCTGGCCCAGCCTGGGTGGTTTCCCGTGGAAGTTGGCTCCATTCTGTGTTTACTCAGGACTTCGTGGTCCAAGAAGCTTTCAGAGCAGCCCCAGTGCTGTGATGGGGAGCGTGGGATAGGTCTCGATGCTTCCCATTGTGCTGGAGCAGGAGCACAGTGCAGAGGAGTTTGGTGCAGTCCCTGGGCCGAAACTGAGACCCTTTGTAGCCCCTTCAGCAAAAGCCCCACTGATTTCCCTTCTCCAGGTGTCCCCCCTTGAGTGTCCTTGGGCAGATTCCCCGTGGAGAGTGGGATAAAGCCCCTGTGTCTTGGGGGAAGCCTGGGGATAGGTTTTCTAATCTCCCCAGACTTAGGCTCCCAAGCCCTCTGCTGAAAGCTGATCAGGAGGCTTGGGGCTCTTAGATGTGTTGGTGGGGATGACTCTTAAGCCAGGCAGCTCTGCTGAGTGCGGGGAGGCTGAGGATTAGAGCAGGCCAGGAGACAGAATACCCCCAGGCTGGCTGCCACACCGGCTGGCCCGGGCTGTGCCCGCTCCTTTCTCCTGCTGCTGCAGAGCCTGGCTGACCCAGCAGGGACAGAGGGACAGAGGGCTGCCCTGCTGCAGCTGCTGCCAGCCCTGCCTGCATGCCCCGCTGCAGGACTGCAGCAGGTGAGTGAGTGCTGCACCTCCCAGGAAAGAGGGGAGGAAATAAAAGGTCCGCTCTGATTTCTGCAGCTCTGGGGGAAGTGTTTGACTTTGGTCTCCAAATCCTCGCTCTGGTTGCTGGCTGTGCTGCCTTGGCAGGCCGGCAGGAGCCTGGGCTGTGCTGTGGGTCTGGGTTCCTGTGTGGGAGGCTGGCTCAGGGCTCAGGGCTGTGCTGCACTGCTGGCACTGGGGGCTCCGTTTGCCTGGGGCTGGGGTTATTGCCTGGCCTGGCTCCCTAATCTACGGTTCCACTGATAATGTCTTTCATTTTCAGCTGTAATATTAACAACTGCCCTGATTTGGCTTCCTTGCAGCTGCAGTGCTTTGTCAGGAGGCGGGGGAGAGGAGGCAGAAGCAGGGATTTGGGGAACAGAACCCCAGCCGTCCCTCCCCGTCCTCCCAGGTGGATGTTCCTTCTGCAGGTGCAGGGGCTGAGCCAAATCCGTCTTGGGGCTTTGTGGTCGATGAGCAGCACGGCACTGAATGCACAGCCTGTCTCTGGGAGGCTGGAGAGACACCAGAGCTGCTCTGCCAGCTCATTTGCAAAACATGTTGGGTTTTGCTGCTGCTGCAGCCGGGGGAGATGGCCGGGGGCCGCTGCCGTCGCGGTGCCCTGGCTCTGGGTGTCGGGGCACAGAGGGGCTGGGTGGGTGCTGGGTGGGTGCAGGGTCCCGTGGAGGGGCTGGGCAGGGGGCTGAGGAGGAGAGGATGGGTGCTGGAGGTGGTACCCTGGGAGCTGCCTGTTAATTGAGTCATTAAAGCAACTGGGACCTGCCTCTGCAGCTCCGAAGCGAAGGTGGGGTTTGACTTCCCAAAATGCTGAGCTGGGACTCAGCAAATGGGAGCTCAGTGCTGTGCTCTGCTCCTGGCTCAGTGCCTCTGATGGTCTTTGTGCTGGTCTTTATTCCCTTTTCCTTGCTCGCTGTGTCTCTCGCTGACTTAGTCCCCACACTCCTGGGCCAGAGGAAATTCTGAGATCCTGGGATCCTGGTCCTGCCTGCCCTGCTGCAGCCAGCTGGGAGGGAGGTGGGGCTGCTGGGAATGGCAGGGAATGGTGTGGGGATGGCTGGGAATGGTGTGGGGATGGCTGGGAATATCTTGGAATGGCTGTGAATATCTGTGGAATCTGGGAATAGCA